CGAAGCCGAGGACTGGCTGTACATGGAAGGCGCGGACTCGACCGCGGAGGAGTTCGACGCGAAGCGATCGACGCTTCAAGCGATCGGGGACGATTGGATCGACCGCGCGAAGGAGCTCGAGCGCAGACCGGAGGCGGTGGCGTCCGCGAAGGCGTTCGTCGACCTCGCGCGGAAAACCGTCGAGGCCTTCGCCGAGACGAAACCGTGGCTCTCGACCGAGGAGAAGGACGCGCTTCTCGCGGAGGTGACCGGCTTCGAGGAATGGCTGGACGAGAAGGTCGCGACGCAGGAGAAGAAGAAAGTCACGGAGGTTCCCGCGTTCGCGGCCGCAGAGGTCACCGTCGAGATGAAGCCGCTCGTGGGGAAGCTCGCGCGGATGAAGAAGAAGGCGGCGCCGAAGCCGCCGCCGCCGCCGCCGCCGCCGCCGTCGCTGCCGTCGAACGAGACGGACGCGAACGCGACGGAGACGACGGAGGGCGAGGCGGGCACGGCTGGCGAGAACGCGACCGCGGGAGAGGGCGAGGAGGAGGTGAAGGTGGAGCCCCCGACGGAGGACCCGGAAGCCCCATCGGAGACGAAGCACGAAGAGCTGAAGAAGAAGTAAGCAGACGCGCCTCGTCCAAAACATTTTTTTGTTGTCATTTAACGCTTTGTTATGTCTATTTCAACGCGTCGAGAAAGAATCAAATAAGTTAAGCATAGCGAGCAAACGATCCGATCGCCCCTTCCGTCCAACCCCGGGGGATCACTCCGCCTTGACCTCCTTCGGCGCCGGCATCGCGTCCACGTTCGGCGCGCCGCGGAACTGCGCCGGGTAGGCGCCCTCCTTCCCGCCGCGGAGCTTCTTTTGCTGCGCGCGGAACAACTTGTCTGTGCCGAACATCCAGTCGCACCACGTGAAGATGCTGCTGTACGGCCCCGCGAACGTCTTGTGATGGAAGTCGTGGTGCACCGCGCCGCCCCAGAACGGAATGAAGTTGGTCGGGTTGAACGGCAGGTCGTACCCGCTGTGGTCCTCCACGGTTTCCCACAGCCTCACCGCGAGCCACGCCCAGAGCGTGACCATGTGCTTCGCGAAAAAGAGCGGCCCGAGGAGCGTGCCGATCCCGAGGATCACGGTCTCGATCGGGTGCGCGTACTCCGCGGTAATGCCGAACGGGTGCGTGTGCTCGTGGTGAATCTTGTGCACGTACCGGTACACGGACTTGTGGTGCAGGCCGCGGTGGACCCAGTAAAAGTAGAAATCCTCGATGACGAAAAACACCGGGAGCTGCCACGCGAGATCGCGCACCGGGGGGAGGACCGGCCCCATGGAGAACCCTAAGAACTTCGCGACCCAGTGGAACAAGAGCTGCATCGGGAGCTGGATGAACACGTGCGAGATGAGGAGCCTCTTCAAGCACTTCAGGACCATCTGCTTCGGGGCTTTCTTCTCCGGTTGGATCCGCCACTTGTTGAAGTACGGCAGCTGATCCATGATCAGCCACGGCAACCAGCACCCGAAGTAGACGCACTCGTGGAATACGAACGTCAGCGGGCCCGCGATGAAGAACTCGCTGAAGTTGTCCAGGATGACCTTCCACCCCGCGGTCATCTTCGCGTGCACGAGCGCCTCCGCGGTCGTGAGCTGACCGAGGAGGTCGTTGAGCGTGATGTCGCTCAGCGTCTTCGCGTCGATCGTGACCGTCTTCGCCGCGCTGACGCCGGCGATCACGCCGAGGAGGAGCGCGAAGAGAAGACCCACACGGCGGTTCATGTCGAGGAGCGCCATTTCGTGCGTCGTGCGGCGCTTTAAGAGCGCGCGCGTCCAAGTGCGCGGCCGTCGGCGGTCGATTACAAATATCGCAGGCGTGACGTCATTTGGTGGCTCAGAATACGTGAGAGGAGATCGCACTGGCAAACAGTCAGAGTACGTGTACACGTACGCCACCACCGGCGAGTCGGCGCCGACGAGGAAAACTGTCACCCATCTTCCCGACATACGCGCCTCGCACGCGCTCCTGCGCGTCCCACGCTCGCTCCTCCCGCGATGGAGGAGGCGAAGACGGACGCCGCCGCGGCGGCGATCGTCCCCCTGACGCAGCTGCGCATCGACCTCGAGAACGTGTCGTACGCGCCCGTCGTTCGCGACGCGGACGGACGCCGCGCGCCGATGCCCGTCGTGCGGCCGATGTCCACGTCGTTCCGCCCGCACACCGTCACCGCGCTGATGGGCCCGAGCGGGAGCGGGAAGACGAGCTTGCTGACCGTCGTCGCCGGGTTCGTGAACAGAGCGCACGTCGGCGGGACTGTGCGCGTCAACGGCGAGGACGCGGGCGCGCGCGACGAGAGAAGGTCGCGGCTGCCGAGGAAGCTCGTCGGCCTCGTGTTTCAGGTGCGTTAGTTCTTTACACTGGTCCCCATACGACCGCGTTGGCGTGGTGAACGCCGATCCTTAAGGACTTTGCCCGTCGTCTCTCTCCGCCCACCCCTCGCTTTCAATCCCCGCCCTCGACGCATTTCAACTCCATCTGACGCCTTTGAACTCCACCCCGACGTTCGCTCGTATGGAACGACCCTCAGGACGACGCGATGCTCCCGGGGTTGACCGTCCACGAGACGATAAAGTTCGCGGCGGACCTTCGAATGTCGCGAGACGCGACGGAGACGGAGCGCGTCGACGCGTGCGACGCGATCTTATCCGAGCTCGGCCTATCGCACGTCCGCGACGTCCTCGTCGGCGGCGCGATGCGGCGCGGCGTCAGCGGCGGGGAGAGGAAACGCCTCGCCGTCGGCGTCGAGCTCGTGACGCGTCCGGCGCTCCTCCTGCTGGACGAGCCGACGTCCGGTCTCGACGCCGCCGCGGCGTTATCGCTCGTGAAGGTTCTGCTGGCGCTCGCGCGCAGGGGGCAGACCGTCGTCGCGGCGATTCACCAGCCGCGGACGACGATATTCGACGCGTTCGATCATCTGGTGTTGATGTCCAAAGGACGCGTCGTGTTCGAAGGGAGCCCGGGAGGGTGCGTGCCGCACCTGGAACGGAGCGGCGTCGGCGCGCTGCCGCCGCGGACGAACCCGGCGGATTTTCTCATGGACGTCATCTCCGCGGACGAGAAGTTGGGGGAAGAGTACCGGACGCTCCCGGCGGCGTGGGCGCGCGCGGTGGAGAAGGGCGCGAAGACGGGGTCGAGGTCGGGCGCCGCCGCCGCCGCCGCCGCCGCCGCCGCCGCCGCCGCGACGACGACGACGACAACGACGACCGAGGACGTCGCGATCACGATGCGCCGCGCGCCGTCCGCGCGCGCGCTCTCGACGCTGTCGCGCATCGAGCAAGGCCCGACGCTCGTGCGCCAGCTCGTCGTGCTGACCAGACGCGAGGACAAGTGCCGACGCGGGGCGAACCTCACGACGGTGAACGCCGCGCAGTCACTCGCGATGGCGGCGCTCACGGGTCTCTTCTGGTGGCAGATGCCGGACGACACGGACGAGCACGTCATGGAGCGCTTCAGCATCTTGTTCTTCGTGATCATCGCGCAATCGAACAATGTCGTCTTCGCGTGCGTGAACACGTTCGCGAAAGAGAGGCAGCTGATGCTCAGAGAGCACGCGAAGGGGATGTACCGCCCGCTGCCGTTTTTCATCGCGAAAACCGCGTCGGACACGGTGAACACGTTGTGTCTCCCGTGTCTCTACGCCACGTGCGTGTACTGGCTCGTCGGTCTCAAGCGCACCGCGGAGGGGTACTTCGTCTTCACCGCGGCGTTTGCGCTGTGCATCCTCGTCGCGCAGAGTCTGGGGTTAGCGCTGTCGTGCGCGATACCGAACCTGCAAGTCGCGATGATGGTCGCGCCGATGCTGACGCTCATGCTGATGATCCTCGGCGGATTTTACGTCAACTTTTCGTCCATGCCGTCGTTCATACGGTGGCTGTCGTGGCTCTCGCAGGCTCGATATGCGTTCACCGCGATGGTCGTGAACGAGTTCAGAGGGCGGACGTTCGAGTGCGCGGCCGGGACGCACGCGCGGTACGGCGCCTCGTGCCCGCTGACGGGCGAGGAAGTCATCGACGCGTTGGAGATGGACGACGTCTCCGTCTCGACGTGCTTTCTCGCGCTGGTCGGGATGCAGATCGCGCTGCGGGCGGTCGCGTACGTCGCGATGCGCGTCAACTTCAGCCGCATGAACGCGTAGAGTACTGATGGTAGCGTAATGTAACGTAGTCTGATAGCTCTAGGTCCTAACCTTATCATAGGTCTTCTTCTATCGTCGCGGCGGCGGCGGCGACGGACGCCTCCCTCCCTTCGCCTCCGTCCTTCGCCTCTCGCTCGCTCACCTGCCGCCCTTAGCCGCGGGCTTGGACGTCAGCGCGCAGATCTCCGTGCACTCGTTGAGGCAGTACGCGCGGCTCCGGAACCCCTCCTTGAACACGACCGGGGCTTTCCTCACGCTCAGGGGTCCTAATCCAGGGGCGCCGCCGCCGCCGCGCGTGCACGTGGCGATGCACTTCCCCGCGCACTTCTCGATCTCCTTGCCGTTGGGCCCCTTCGACAGCGTCACGAGGTTCGGCGTCTTCCTCTCCGCGACGTCCCCGGAGGACAACCCTTGCGGGACGTCCTCGATGTAGAACTCGCTGCGCTCGAGCGCGGCGAGCGCGGCGTGCGTCGGCGTCAGCGCGAGCGTCGCGGCCGCGGCGAAGCTCGCGGTCGCGCGCATCGCGAGAGACGTCGGAGACGACGACGTGGACGCCGATCGCGGCGATGTCGATATCGACGCGTCGTCTTCGTCGTCGTCGTCGCGACGCCTTCTGCGCGCGGGTGCGCTCGCGCGCGCGCTCGCGCGAACGTTCGCGCGCGCGCCCTTCGCGCGGACGGCGACCGTCGCCCCTCCCGCGACCACCGCGCTTGTCATCGTGTTGTGAGGGCTCCGCATGAAAATAGGCACTGTTATCTGATGTTATCCTCCCTTCCGTCGACAGATCGAGCGGCGCGGGGCACCGTATCCGGCGCGTCGACGTCTGTGCGATGCCTCCGAAACGAGCGCGCGAGACCGCCCAGAGCGTCGCCCAGGACTCGCGCGTCGACCAGGACTTGCGATGCAAGATCCCCGTCGCGCTCATCGTGAAGCTCGGTGGCGCGGCCATCACGATCAAGGACGGACGCGAGAATCTCGACGAGAAGACGCTAGACGCGTGCGTCGCTTCCATCGCCGCCGTGCACGAACACGAGTGTAAACTCCAGGCGGAGAAACCAAACTACGTCCGAAAGGGGATCGTCGTCGTCCACGGCGCGGGGTCGTACGGCCACGGCGTCGCGAAGGACTTCCTCGTCGCGGAAGGCACGAGGGCGGCGATGCGAGACAATCGACAGCTCGGCGTGGGTCTCGCAAAGACGCGACTGTCCGTCACGAAACTGAACCACATCGTGACGTCCAAACTCGTGGAGAAGGGCATCGCCGCGGTGGGGATGTCCCCATTCGGGGCGTGGAGCACGTCGGGGAAAACGATGATCTCGGCGGGGATCAAGGCGGTGAACGAGGCGCTCGCGGCTGGCCTCGTTCCGGTCGTTCACGGCGACGCCGTCTTAGATGAACAGCAGGGATGCTGCATCTTGTCCGGAGATACGATAATGGAAGAACTGTGCGGGTATGTTAAGTGCGACAGGGTCGTCTTCTTGACGAATACCCTGGGCGTGTTCGACAGACCGCCGGAGGATCACTATAAGCTTTGGCGCGGCGAAGGAAGTCGCCCGCCGTTGGATTTTCCGAATGAAGAATGGGAAGAAGCAACGAAACTACTGATAGAGATCGTGACGTTTAAAAGAAACCACCAAAACAGTATTTCATGGGTGGTGAGGAATACTGGTTCGTCATTAACGGGTCTATTTGACGACAGTCAAGAAATGGAAGGGTCGTATCAACGAATCATCGGCGAAGGAGAGAAGGGGATAAGCATGGCGGAAATCGAGACGTCGACGTCGGCGAACGATGTCACAGGTGGCATAAATACGAAGATAGAAAGCGCTGTGTCCATTGCACATTACCGGGATGTAAGCGTGTACATCGCCGCGGCGGGTACGAGACATGGTGACGCCGCGATCAGGGGAAAGGTATTGACGAAAGGCGGTCCAGACGCGAACGATCTGACCATAGAAGAGTTGGACGGTTATCAGTGGTTCGGCACGTTCATTCGCAAGGCTCAGCCGGGAGAGCCCGACTACGTCCGGCCTATAGTCACTGCCCGCAAGTGTCTGACTCGTTTAGATGATCGATTATAGATGAAATTACAAACGGCGGCGATCACTCACTCGCCCGCCACTCCACTCCGCGCGACGTCGCCTCCCTCCTCGATCGCTTCTCGGCGTCTCGTCGCTCACTCCTTGAGCAACGACGCGCGAAGTTTCTCCGTCTGCCAGTACGCGTTCCCCCACGGCAACGTCTGATCCGCGTGGTCCTCCGCCGCCCCGCGGATGTCGTCCCCGATCGTCACGATCTCCTTCGCTTCGTTCCCGTCGACGTCCGCGATGAACCTCGCCGGGTTGCCCCCCCAACGCTGCCCGCTCGGGATGAGCTGGTTCTCCTCCACGACGCTCCCGGCTTCGAGGATCGCGTTGGACTCCACGTGCGACCCAGGGGAGAGCACCGACCGCGCGCCGACGAGGACGTTGTTCTCGACCGTCGCCGCGCTGATCGAGGTGCACGCGCCGATGGTGACGTGCTGGCCGATGCGCGCGGCGGCTCTGCGGATGACGAAAGACGCGGAGGGGGGAGGGGGGGGGGAGCGGCGCGCGCGTCAGAGGAGGCGGCGGCGACGAGGAATCAATCATTCGTCGTTCGGCGAAGAGACGAGCCGTAGGGTTAGGCGCGCGAGCGAAGAGACGCGCGCGTCCGCGCGCGCGCGCGACGCGAGCGCGCGTCCGAGCGCCGCGAGAACGCACCCCGCGGCGTCGATGACGACCTTCTCCATGATGTTCGTCCACCCCGCGACGCGAACCGCGCCGAGGTCCCCCTTCAAGACCGCGCCGTGCCACACCGTGGACGAGTTCCCGACGTCGACGTCCCCCGCGATCGTCGCGTTCGGGGCGATCCACGCGTCCACCGCGGTGCTCGGCACGCGGTTCCCGAGCGGGATCTCCTGCCTCGAGCGGTCGTAGATCTCGTTCTCGACTTGGTTGCGCGTGGTGATCGCGCGCCGCGCGCGCGCGACGGCGGCGACCGCGCCGCCGTGGGCGTGGGATCGCGCGAGCGCGCTCGCGGTCGCGTCGGCCGAGGCGCGACCGATCGTCGTCGTCGTCGTCGTCGCCGCGCCGCGCGCGGAGACGGGGCACGCCGCCATCGCGCGGAGCGCGGTCGCGCGCGCGAGAGCTTTGCGAAGAGCCATCGTGAGCTCGCGACGGGGTCTCGAGGGTCCGCGCGGCTCGAGACGTGCGTCCCGCGCGCGATGGAGTGGTAGGTCAATCCCACCGGACACACAGGCTGTCAGCGCAGTGCGCTGCTCGTGCTCGAGCGCGCGTTCCAGTCTCGCAGGAGTGAGCGATTCCCGGTTCCTCCCGCGGGCCGGCATAGCAGCCCTGCGCGCGACTTCGGTCTAGCACGATGTCCGGGGGCGGTTCTCTCCTCAGAGCCGCTGCCGCGAACGCCGGCGGCGGAGGAGGAGGAGGCGGCGGCGGGAGCGCGGGCGGCGGAAGCTCGAGCAAAGCGGCCGCGAACGGCGCTCCCGCAGCTGCTGATGGCACGCTGAGCATTACTCCCGATAGTCCCGCGGACGCGGAGTGGAGGGCGCGTAGAGGCCCTCTCGATTCTAGCGAGGGAGGAAGCGGTCCTTGGGGGGAAGAAGACTCTACTGGTGCGTTCGACGTTTAGGATTTAAACCCGCGTCGCGTCCTCCGACGCGTCTCCGCGAAGGGACGATGCCGGCTTCATCGTTGGGCGCTTTCGCTTCGATTTTTTTTCCGCGAAAGATTGCGCTCACCCCCGCTCGCGCTCCGTCCCTCCGCAGGCCTTCAACCGACGGACTTGTACGGGAAATTCACGTGGAAGATCGAGAACTTCTCGGAGATATCCAAGCGCGAGCTTCGGTCGAACGTTTTCGAGGTCGGCGGGTACAAGTGGTGCGTTCTCGCGTAACGACCGTCGCTCGGAAAAGCAAGCCCTCGCCATGTCGCGCGCTCGCGAGGAAAAGAAGCGCCCCAACCGCCGTAAATCGCATCCTCTCCGCGCTCGTCCGGAAACGCGCCGTCCTGACGCGCATCTTCCCCCCCTCGTCCTCTCCCCACGACAGGTACATCCTCGTGTATCCGCAGGGATGCGACGTGCACAACCACCTCTCGCTGTTCCTCTGCGTCGCGGACTACGACAAGCTTCTTCCAGGTGCGCGTCCGTCGCGATCACACAACACGCTGGCGACAAACCCTCCAGCGCGGCACAGCTACACACCGGGAGATCGTCAGTCGGTTTTCTCATCCATCCCTCCCTCCGCGTCCCCTCTCTCCTCCGTCGCGACGCGACGCGACGCGAACGCTGACGAGGTCCTTCCCTCCCATCCCCGCGACGCAGGCTGGAGCCACTTCGCGCAGTTCACGATCGCGGTCGTGAACAAAGACCCGAAGAAGAGCAAGTACTCGGACACGCTCCATCGGTTCTGCAAGAAGGAGCACGACTGGGGATGGAAAAAGTTCATGGAGCTCTCGAAGGTGATGGAAGGGTTCACCGTCGCGGACACGCTCGTGATCAAGGCGCAAGTGCAGGTGATCCACGAGAAACCCGCGCGGCCGTTCCGGTGCCTCGAGCCGCAGTACCGCCGCGAGCTCGTGCGCGTGTACCTCACCAACGTGGAGGGGATCTGCCGGCGATTCTTGGAGGAGAAACGCGAGGGCCTCGCCAAGGTGCGCGAAGACGCGAACAAGTGGGCGGCGATGCGCGACTTCCTCGCCTCCCCCGCGGGTAAAGAAGCCGCGCAGACCGCGGTGGAGAAAGCGGACGTCCTCTTGAAAGGGATCGTGAAGCGGTTCTTCAACGAGAAGGAGGTGACGTCCACCCTGGTCATGGACGCGTTGTACTGCGGCTGCCGAGCGCTGGACATCGGCGCGCAAGACCCGAACGTGGTCGCGACGACGTTCAAGCCCGGACGGAGCGTGTGGATGTCCGTCGCGAAGAACAAGTCCGCGATGGCCGGGGACCTGGTCACCGCGTTCGAGCGCGCGTCCGGCAACGCGTTGTTTGACTTTGACGACGAGAACGCGAAGGGCTCAGAGGATTTCGGCGCCGACGCCGTCGAACGCGACGAGCGACGGCTCGCGGAGCTCGGTCGACGGACGATCGAGATGTTCGTGTTGTCGCACCTGTTCGGGAGCAAGGTCGAGGTCGCATTCGCGGAAGCGCAAGCGATTAAGATGCAAGAGGCGCTCATCGCGGAGGAGGAGGAAGCGGAGCGCGCCGCCGCGGAGGAGAGCGAGGCGAAAAAGTCCAAAAAGGCGCGTCAGAAGCAGCGGAAGAAGGACAAGAAGGAAGCCGAGGAGGCGGAGGAGGCGGCGAAGCTCGCGGAGGAGGAGGCCGCGCGAGCCGCGGCGCAGGCGATCGTCGATGAGAAGAACGCGGCGGAGCGCAGGAAACGGGAGCAGGAGGAGAAGGAGCGCCGCGCGCGCGAAGCCGAAGAGCTCGAACGCCGAAAGGCGGAGATGGCGGCGCTCGCCGCCGCGCAAGCCGCCGCGCAAGCCGAAGCCGCCGCCGCCGCGGAGGAGTCGGAGACGTCGGAGGAATCCGACGCGTCCAGCGCCGGGTCCGAGATGGTCTCCGCGAACGAGGGTGGATCCTCCGGGGGCGTCTCCGGGGACGACGACGTCGGCTCTTCTCCCGCGAACGCGTCGCCGTCGAAGCAGTCCGTCCCCTCCTCCCCCGCGACGGGGGGCGGGGGCGGGGACGACGGCGGGAAGCCCTCCAAGACGCTCCCCGTCCCGAGACCGCTGAACGCGGGAGGGAACAGCAGCAACGCGTCGTCGCCGCTGCAGGGCGACTCCGCGCCGGGCACGCCCGCGAGGAGCGGCAGCGTCGCCGCGAACGCGAACGACGGGTTCGAGGAGGCTGCCGGGAAGAAGAGCAAAAAAGCCGCCGCAGCGGAGCGCGCGAAAGCCGCGGAGCTCCTCGCGAAGCAAGCCGCGGAGCAGCCGCCGCCGCCGTCGCCCGGGAAGAAGCAGCTCCCGTCGCCGAGGACGGGCGCGGACGCGCCGAAGGCGAGCAAGCCCGAAACCGACCGAGGCGGCGCGTTCGGCGGCGACGGCGCGCTCACCGCGGTGGAGGCGGCGGCGCTGCGCGCGCACGCGTCCATGCTCGAACAGTCGCTGGCGGAGCGTTCCGCGGAGGTGACGCGCCTGAAGCGCGAGCTGTCTCAGGCGCACCAGTCCATGGCGGTGATGCAGGCGCAGGTCGCGGCGGGGAGCGTCGATCGCACGGCGACGCCGCCGATGTCTCCCGCGAGGGTCGACTCGGACCTCGGCGACGTCGGGGTCGGCGTCGGCGTCGGCGTCGGGACGCGCGGCGCGCCCCCGGGGATGGGTCCCTCGAAGGGCGCCGCCGCGGCGGCCGGCGGCGGACCGCCGCCGCCGCCCGGGCCTCCGCCGCCCGGCGCGCGCGCGGCGCCGCCGCTCCCGCCCGGACCTCCGCCCCCGCCCGGCGGCCCGCCTCCCCCGCGAGGCCCGCCGCCGCCGGGACAGCCGCACGGCCGCGGCGACGACGGGACGGAGTACGACCGGTCCGGCCCGCCGTCGTACCTCGGCGCCGCCGCGGCGCCGGGGCCCCCGGGGGGCGCGGGCGCGCGCGGGCGTCCGCCGCCGCCACCGGGGATGCCGCCGCCGCCGCCGGGGATGCCGCCGCCGCCGCCTGGGGGTCCTCCCGGGATGCAGACGCCGCCGGGGAAGATGCACGCGGGCCGCTTCGGAGGATTGAACGGCGTCGGCGGCGCGTCCCCGGCGTTGGAGGACGAGTTCGTGCACCTCGGGATGATCACGGATCTGCTGGACGACTCCCCGGGCGGCGTCGGCGGGCTGTTCTGATACGACGGACGGGACGGACGGAGTTTGATGGATGGATGATGCACACGATAGGCGATGGATGACGACGACCGACGACGACGAGCGTTATGGATGATGACGACCGACGACGACGAGCGTTCGCGTTCACCCGCGAGAACGGAAGATGAAGGATTGGGCGACGACGGAAATACATAGACTAAGCAAGCACAGCAATAGCCTTAGCCATTGCGGTAACGATTTCGTACATTTGGTTCTCACGACGCGACGCCCGCCATCGCGTCCGCGTTCGCTCGAATCGCCCTCGCCTCAGCGATCGCCCTGGACGCGAGCGCCTCCTTCACCGCCGCCGACGGGCTCCCGCGCGCCAACGTCGCCTGCGCGTCGGCGCGCGCCGCCGCCGCCCGCAGCTTCGCCTTCAAGTCCTCGTTCTCCCTGAGCAGCGTCGCCGAGGACGCCCTCGCGGCCGCGAGTTCCTTCCTGACCTTCTCGATCTCCTCGTCCATCGCGCGCGTCGCCGCGTCCGGCTCCACGACCGTCGCCACCGGGGCGTCCACCCCGGACGACGACGGCGTCCGCGCGACGATCGGAAAGTGAGCCTCGTCGTCCTCGCCGTAGCCCGTCTCCGTCCGCGTCTCCCCCAGCCTCATCGTGAGCCCGTGCTCGAGCGCGGCCGCGCGCTCGACCCAGTCGCTCTTCGTCTCAGAAGGGCTGTTGTCTCGCGCGCGCGCCCCCGCGCGCGTCGCGACGAGATCCCCCGCTCCTCCGTCGCTCCCTCCGAGGTCGAGGTCCCTCCCGAGCTCGAACAGCCCGCGAAGACGCTCCGCCTCGAGCTCAGCGAGCTCGCGATCGATCGCTTCCTCGCGCCGCCGGTCTCGCTCGCGCTCCGCGGACGTCGGCGGCGTCCACGTCGGGATCGCGGGGAACGGCGTCGCGGGGGACGCGGCCCCGTCGGGGAGCAGCGGCGCGGTCAGCCCGGGGGACGCCATGCCAGCGCGCGCGTAAGCAACTGTGCAATTCTTCCCCGAGAGTTGGCGCGAAAAAAAGAGAGACGAGCCGAGCAACAATCGACACAGTCGATCGCCCGCGCCGCCCGGCGCCCGCGATGCCGAGCTACGCCACCGCGGGGGAGACATGCCGCGCGCTCGCGGCGGTCCCGGACGCGGAGCGAACGCTCTTCGTCATCGGCACGCGGAAACTCCGGGGAAACAACGAGGTGCACCTCGTGACGCACGACCGCGACGTCGACGCGCTGCGGTGCGTCAAGGCGTGGACGCATCACCCCGAGATCGCGGACGTCGCGCCGTGCCCGACGGACGGCTCTCTCCTCGCGACGGTGTATAACCCCTCGAGCGGGAGCAAGGACCACGGCGCCGCGGTGTGGCGCATTCCCGGCGGCGTCACGGCCGCCGCCG